CGCCCCCTCAAGGAAAAATCCTCTCAAAAAAAAAAAAAAATGTATATAAAGTTTATTTGCTGGGGCCAGCAGGTGGTGCAGAGGTTAAGGCACTGGACTGCCACGTGGCCAATTGTAGTTCGAGTCCCAGACCTGATGGCTTGCTTTCTCACTTCCCTGTCCCGCCCTGTATCTCTCTCTGGTCAATTTTTAAAATAATAATAATAAATGAAATTAAATTTAAAAAAATTCCTTGAAAAAAGTTTATTTACGGGAACCAGCAGTTAGCGTAATGACTATGTCGCTGGACTCCCACGTAGTCGACCGCGGTTCGCGTCCCGGACCCGGTGGCTTAAAACTCATGCCGGGCGTGTGTGCGTGCATGCCCAAGATCCCGAGAGGAGAATGGAGGAGAAGGAATTGCGGTGTGACCATCCCCCCTGGGGGTGATTTCTCGCTTTCTGTCTCTATGTCTCTCTCTGTCTGTCTGGCGAGCGCATGCGCCCTATAGCGAAAACCTCTCCAAAAGAAAAAAAGAAAAAGAAAAATATCTTCTAACAAATATAATCTTCCCAAGATTGATAGTCTAGATAATAACCTTTCTGTAAACGCATGTGATTTATATAACTAGTACACCCTATAACATTGTGACCTCTCTGATGACAAGTTGGGTAAAGCCTACCTCTCAGTGAATGCTCACCCTCATCCAACATGGACCTCAAGCCCACCACATGACTAGACATCTGTGTGAGGACAGCTCCTGGACACAAAATCATGCCTTGTGAGACAGGAAAACTCACAAAGACAGTTTAAAAAAATTCGTAAAATTACTATCTTGTCATTTACATGTTTTGATGCCATATATGAAAAAATTCTAACATTTATTTCCATCTACTAGTAGTAAGACAGAAATTCCCAAATTTAAGAAGTCTGATATAAATCACTTGAACTATGACACCTATTTGTTTAAAGCTTATTAATTTATTCTTCCATGAACAAGAGAGACACAGAGAAAGCCACAGAGACAAAGGAACAGGCACCCTCAATAAGGTCTATATACTGCAGTCCCTCCCAGCTTTAGCCACTCCCAGGTAATCATAGGTACATCCATGCCCAGCATACTCAGGGAGGTCTTCAGAAGCAAACCAGGAACCTTCCTATGTGAGTCAGCCTTATAGAGTGCTGTTTTTACCCTTGATGCCTGCCTTTTTTTTTTTTTTTTGGAAGAGGTTTTTGCTATAGGGCACATGCGCTCACCAGACAGACAGAGAAACAGAAAGCAAGAAATCACCCCCCAGGGGGGATGGCCATGCCACAATCCCTTCTCCTCCATTCTCCCTCAGGATCTTGGGCAAGCATGCACACGTGTCTGACTTGAGTTTTAAGCCACCGGGCCCGGGACTCAAACCATGGTTGACTACATGGGAGTCCAGTGACATAGCCATTATGCTAACTACTGGTCCCAATGACTGTCATTTTAAGCTGTGCCTGTCACTCACTTTGAGATGGCACTATCAGAAAGGAACAACTTAAAAACTACCCCAGGTCCCCAGAGGACTATGAAATATCACCTAAACATGAAAAAATATATGGAAGGGAAAAAGAAAAGCAGGTATTTCATGCACTTCTATATTGTAGTTCTTAGTTGTTCAAAACGGAATTCTATAAATCTACAGTCTAATGAATTCACCGCTCACTGCTATTTTGTGTTTTAAATCTTAAGGCCATTTCAAATTAAAGATGTCACAATTAACATCAACAATCTTATTTCTAGTGCATGTCTGGAACAGAAGATGTAAGAGAGGTTCTGGCTGTGGGCCCAGGCTCTACTGCCTGCCTGGCACAGGTACTTACCATGTGGTGTCTCCAGAGCTGGTGACGATCTGATTGTCATCCAGGAACCGGCAGCAGGACAAGTAGCCTACCAAAGAGCAGACACATGTGACGATCCAGATTCTACAGTCTTGTAAACATAATAAATACACTGGCACAATGAATATACCCGCAAATTCTAAGTCTACCCTATGAGCTACTTCTTGTTCTGTTTTGAGTATGGAAGAAGACAATACACAAAGTAGGACAGTCACATGCACGGCAGGCCAAGCAGGAAGAACACCAGGGCTACAAAAAGGCAAGTCAGAAGTGTGCTTCACACACAGACCCACAAACACTGGCAACAGGTAAAGGAGTAACAAACCATACCCATGAAACACCCACACCTTTCATCTGCTTTTCTGTTCAACAAATCAAAGCCTAGGGATTCCCTTCTCTCTCCCCCTCACTCGCTCATTCATTCAGTCATTCAACAAGAACTGATCCCAGTCCCTGGGGTAGCACTCTGGGCATGTGGAATAAGTCTTTAAACAAAAGAGATCCTCTATACTCCCTGAAGCTGACCCTCCACTAGGGAAAAGAACAAAAACAACTCAAGAAGTACATTACAAAGTGTTAAGAAGGAAAGAGAGAAGTAGAGGGAGGGACCTCATGAGACAGACTGGAGCCACAAGGCCTCCAAGAGAGGTAGGCCTGAGTGAGCCCAAGGAAGAGAGGGCGACAAGGGCTGGCAGGTCACAGAAAGGATTACCAAGGGTTAATAGAAAAAAGATGACAAAACCAGCTACTTGGCAGTGATGCTATGGATGTCTAGTGGGGGTGGCTCAACCAACAGATCTGAGGGGGTTTGTTTTCCTAGCGCAGCACTGAGAACACGCCAAGTTGGAGCGGGAATACTACTATGTCCTTGAGCATTCTTATCCTCTCCCGCCTGGAAGGATGAGTCGGAGGCCACGCAGAGGACATGTGATGCCTCTGGAACGAGGAAAAGCAAAACAAAAAGATCAACTTGCAGTACCTACACACTTTGATTTTATGTGAAGAACTTTTGTTTAACCATTATTTTGCACTTATATTCTAAATTTAAGTGGCCACAATATCAGTGCATTATCATGGCTCTGGAATTTACTTTGAAACCTTTTAACCAATTAGCCTACCTCTGCCCAAGGCTGGTGACAGACTGGCCCTGACCTGACCACCCTGAGGGGCCCAAGCAGTGATGGTCACCCTCAAGCAAGAGCCTGTTTAGATCTGGGTGTTAACAGAAATGCTTTCCATGTCCATGCCACGGGGTTGTGGAACACTGCATCAATGAGCACACAAAGAAGAAACCCACTGAGGGTTTTGATGTAGAAAATGTAAGAACACAAGAAAACAAAACATTTGTTCAACAAACATTATCAAACTTGGTCCCATGGAAAAAATATGTAGAGATGACATTTTCAACTTTCAGTGCTGTACCCAAAAAAGGACATGTGTCAAAGACATCCTGGAGGCCACATCCATAGAGACACCAGGGACCACAGAGCTGAACCAAAGCCCAGCATCCAAGGGTCCTGAATCTCTTTCTTCTTCTGAGCCTCTTCCCAAGCTCCTTTCCAATGGCTTTTTGGCTCACTCTTACCCTTGCTTTATGTCAGCTTTACTGTCCCTTCCTTCTGAAAGCTATCACTGTGAGGTGCCCATCTATACAATCTCACTGGGCCTCACAGTACTTAACCTGTTCGACATGAAAGCAGAGAAAGGAGGAACTCAGCACCATCAGCAACCAGACAGGGCCACTCCCAGGTTCACTGCTTGAAAGAAACACTACCTTAGCCCAGCAGCTGTGGCACAATAGTAATACTAGCACCCCGCCTGCAGTGTTGGAAGCCACACATCAACTATAAAGCAGTTACTCAGGATCCTAAAGAGCTGAAGGGCTAGGGAAAGGGGATCACAGTGTGATGAGACCCTACTGAGAGTTCTTCCTTTTGTCCACTCTCCTACTATTGTTTAAAAAAGAAAAAAGATAAAGACTTCCTTATCCTGCCTTATGCAGGTGGTAGGTCCTCACAGAACTCACAAGCTTGTTACCGCCAAGAACCAGACTGAATACTAAGTTACAGCTCTTGTGCATGGATAATATGATCTGGACTCTACAGCCTTTAGATGATGAAGTATCAGCTGACTATTGGGTAATCGGAAAAGTCCTGAGGCGTTTTTGCATAGAAAAACATGTCGGGACCAGCAGTAGCATAATGGTTATGTTGCTGGACCCCCATATAGTTGACTGCGGTTCGCGTCCCAGACCCAGTGGTTGAAAACACGCCGGGTGCATGTGCGTGCGTGCCCAAGATCCCAAGAGGAGAATGGAAGAGGAGGGACTGTGGTGTGGCCACCTCCCCGGGGGTGATTTCTCACTTCCTTTCTTTCTCGGCGAGCCCAGCGCCCGTGTACCCAAACCCTCTCCAAAAAAAAAAAAAAAAAGAAAGAAAAGAAAAACATGTCATGGGGGCCAGCAGGTGGTATGGTGGATAAGGTGCTGGACACCCAAATGGTCAACCACGGTTTGAGTCCTGAACCTGGTGGCTTGCTCTCTTGCTTTCCCTTTCCTCTCTGGTCAAATTAAAAAAATAGTAACAACAACAAATGGAATTAAATAAATAAATCCTTTAAAAATTAATAAAACTATTAAAAATAAAACCAGAAAAATATGCCATGACTTCCCGATGACTCTATATTGGGAACTAGAACAATGAGGAAATGACCACATTTATAAACCAACAAAGCACTTGGAAATCATGAACGTGGTTAGGATCATAACGCATGCCAAACTGAGAACAGGAGCAGAGCAGTGTGGACAGGTAGTTCTTTCCAGAGTCCCCATCTCCCCACAGAGGCGTCACAAGAAGCTGACGGAAACATTGGCACACGTGTGAGGACAAGGGAGCATCAGGGAAGGCTGCCTTCAGTGTCCATTTTGTAACATTTGTAGTTAAGGGTTTTCAAAAATATATATGAAAGTTATTTTAAATTACAGTTAGGGTTATAGGCTTCCAACTTTGTGACTCAAGTTTTGGTCCTTTTTGTATTTTTACTATATCAAAGGGATGCAAACAACAACCACATGGACATATTTTTTATGGAAATTTTTTCTTCCAGAGAAAATGTGGAAATGAATGTTTGCATTCACTCAGCAAACATGTGCTGCACATCAGGGCTCAGTAAGCACTGTGCCAGTGCCCAAACCGACACAGATACAGGTTGTACAGCTGGTGGGCAAGACAGGTGGTGCCAAGGGAGCCAAGCACACACTGTGAGGCCCATCCACACCCTGACGGGGAGCCTGTGGTTGGTGCAAACTGCAGACTCTGAAACCAGAAACACCTGGGCTGCATTCTCAGCAGCAAACACTCCTGTCAGTTCTTCCATGAGCCCTGGTTAATTAAGGATCATCATCTTGGAGAACTGCTGGAGGAACAGAGCTGTCGGTGCACACAGAAATTCTCAGTAAGTGGAGGCTGTTACTATTTCTGTTGTTATTGAAGAATGAGCAAATTCCCTGGTGTGTGGGTGTTGGGGGACATTTCAGGTGAAAACACGCCCTTTTCCTGCCCTGACGCGGGGGCCTGTGCTGCCAACCTCTGGAAACCTGCAAAGGGGAAAGGAAAATAGACCTTGAACAAAATTGTGCCTATGAAGATGTCAACATGCACCCCATCGAAAGGCTGAACACAGCCTGGGGCTTTGGATGGCCTGGTCCTATAAGTAATGGAAGGAAGAGCTACCGTGAGTTGCATGAAAACCACTGGTGGCAGTGACAAGGCTGCAACCATCCAGGAGAGAGGAGGCCGTCTGAGGTAAGGCGGGGCAGAGAGCAGAAGCTCAGGATAAAGGCATATTCCTGGGAGGCCATGGATGGTGTTCACTGAGGGGCCTCCAGGGCAGAGCAAGGGGACGTTTAGAAGGTGGCAGCACGTTGCTCAGTTTGGGGGAAAGACAAAACGGGAACATACACTTGATCTTTACTGAGAGTGGTTGCCTACCTCAAAGAGAAAAGTCAAGGACAACATATGAAAGCTGACCAAACACAGCTCTTAAGGTGACTTATTCTTAAACATAATTATGGGCTCGAGAAAACCATTTGTCTACAAGTACAATATTTACTGCAGCAATATTTATAATATGTAGTAAACTGGAAACTGCCTAAACGTCCACCAGTAGGCACAAATTAGTTCACCACACAACTGATCTCTCCACAACCCATTAAAGATAACATTATAGTTCAGGGAGGGGAGTTAAGTTAAAAACACAAAAGGTAACTTTCCCCGAAATCTCTCCAATTAAACACACAATGATATTGGAGCCCTCAACCAGAACTTTAGAGGACAACCCCATCTGAAAGGGATCAAGGAAGAGACTCCATCCAAAGAGGCTGGCCACAGGACATACGGGGAGGTAGGCAAGGGGGGCGGGGCAGCATCAGAGCCAAGAAGTTGGAATGACCAGGTTCCAACTGTGGTCACTACTCTCACACAGCCTACAGAACATCTGTGCTGTGAAAATGCTCAGCTTAAGGAACAAGACCAGAAATCTCCTGGACTCCAGTTACTGGGAGGGAACGAATTTTCAGCTTAGAACTGGAGGAAAAGTGGTCTAGCTGCAGATGTGAGTGTGTACTAGAGCTGGGAGCAAGGGTAGGGAGGAGAGGGAACCTTCATCAAGAAGTTCGGTGAAAAGTAAGCTGAAGATTTGAAACTGAGGAAATGCCAAGGGATTTTATATTTGTAATTGCTAGAGGACACAAGCATTCACCAAAGAAAAACAAAGAGTCAAAGAAAAAGAGGGACATGGAGAAAGCACAACTCCAATGGTATATGGTAACGCTACAATCCCTTCTCTTCCATTTCTCTCTCTGGTTGAGATTCTGGGCACACATGTGTATGTGCCCAGTATGTTTTTTTGCTGAAGCCTTCTTGACCAGAATGATTTCAGCAAGGATAAGTATGTCTACATATGCATTGAGAGGTTTTGGAACATACCCTATAAGAATAAGCACTAGGGGCCAGCTGGTGGCATAGTGGTTAAGGTGGCTAGATCACACATGGCTAACTACACAGTTTGAGTCCTGGACTGAGTGGTTTGAAAAACACACTGTGGGAGCCAGCAGATAGAGTAGTGGTTGGGGCTGGACTCCCACATGGCTGACTGCAGTTCGTGTCGCAGCATGGTGGTCTGCTTTTTCACTTTCTCTCTCTTTCGTGACAATAGCAAGTTAAAAAATAATAATAAATAAAAGAAATAATTTTTGAAAAACACAAAACCAAAAACATGTTGTACACATGTGTGCCAAAAATCCCAAAAGAATTAGAGAAGGAATTGAAGTATAATCATCCCCTAGGGAAGACAGAAAATATTTATTATGTCTGAAGAAAGATCTTAATACTCTTAATGGGACAAATTTTTAAAATTTTAAATCAACTTTTTTTTTTTTTAAGGTTTTTGCCACAGGCCAGAAAGACAGTGAGAGAGAAAGTGAGAAATAACCCCCCCCCCAGGGGAGATGGCCATACCACAATCCCCTTTCCTCCAGTTTTCTCAGGATTTGGGGCACGCTTGCACAGGTGCCTGGCATGATTTTTTTTGGAGAAGTTTTTGCTACAGGGCATGTGTGCTTGCTAGAAAGACAGAGAGAGACAAGAGGGACAGAAAGCAAGATATCACCTCCCCAGAGGGGATGGCCACACTGCAATCCCTTCTCCATTCTCCTCTCGGGATCTTGGGCATACACGTACATGCACCTGGCCTGAGTTTAAGCCACCAGGTCCGGGACTTGAACCTAGTCAACTACATGGGAGTTCAGTGACACAGTCATTATGCCAAGTGCTGGTCTCTCAAAATATATGTGACCATGCCCCATGGGGAGTGCTTTCTCATGCCCCCTTCAGTGAGAGCATGTGCCCTCTAGCAAATTAAGAAAAAAAAATCTTCTTTATCTTTAAAGAATTATTTTATTTAACTTTATTATGATTAATATTTCCAGAGATACAGAGAGAGAGAGAAAGTGAGAAAGCAAGCAGCCAAGTCCAGGACGCGCACCACAGTCGGCCATGTAGGAGTCTAGCGCCCTTAATCACCACCCCCCCTGCCAGTCCCTCCTCAAACTCTTACAGGATGTAGAAGTAGAGGAGAAGGGATTGTGGAATGACCACGCCCCACGGGGGAGTGCTTTCTCACACTCTGACAAAATTAGAAAAAAAAAATGTGTTGTGAATGCATAGTGTTTTATGACAATTTTTGAGGAGCATAGTCCAGCTTGACTCAAGCAGTAAAGTAGGAGCTGCCATCCACAAGAACAATCATCCAACAGAAAACAATAATGAACACTGGACATAAGGAAATATCCAAAGACACTGGAAACCAAAGCAGAGAGAAGCCGAAGGGGAGTCTACACATGGAAGAAAAAAAGGAATTAGGTGGATTTGTTTTCATAGTGCTTTTCCTGGGGTGGGTTTTGCACGTGATACTCATGGGAAGAAAACCTTAGAGAGATCTGTAGCCAAGTCTTGAAAAGACTTGAGGGCAATCACGGTGGAAAGTGAAGGAAGAAAACCTAGAAACAATGGCACCGAAAGAGAGGCCTAACTGATGCATACTACCACTCAAATATCTGACACCTGAAGTACACGGGGAGACAACAGATCCCATACAGCCTGGCCAATGCTAGAGAATGGAATGATGTTTCAGCTGGTGTCACAAAGGAGAGACAGAATTTTACTGCTTGATAAAACAGAAAAAGCATATTTCAGGATGATAAAAAATCCAGAGTCTCTATAATGCATACATAATGCCTAGGATAAATATGCAAGTACTACACATATGTACCATGATACAGCACAATGTATGTAACCCATAGTTCAAGAGAACAGATGCACAAAGACCAATCTCAGAAAGATTAAATACTAAAATCAGATGAGAATTTTCAAAGCAGCTACTGTAACTGTGTTCATGAAAAAAAAATAAATATGATTATAATAAAAAGATAGGAAATCCAGGAAGAAAAATAAAAACCATTTTTAAATAAAAGCAAACAAATCCTAGGATTGAAAAAAAGAATATCTGACATTAAATTTTTTACTGGATAGCCTAACAGATTACTGGAGATGACAAAACTCAAAGGAAACAGAATAGGCAGATCTGAAGAACTGGGCAACTAAGCAGCCACAGGAGACAGTAGGAGCACCTATCTACTGGAGAACAAGAGGAGCTGATAGGACAGAAAGCATCCTGGAAGAATGGTCTAGAATCCTCCACATTTAGTGAAAGACAGAAGTTACAGATTTAAGACACCAAAGAACATCAGATTTAAGACACCAAAGAACATCAGGTCTAGACACAGCAGAGTCAAACTGCTAAAAACCCAAGATAAAACTTTAATGCGCTAATCAAAGGGGAAAAAAAGTAAATCCAGCAAAATGTCCTTCAAGCATGAAGGTAAAGTAGACATTTTTTAGATAAATAAAAGCTAGGAGACCGCATCATCAGAGGATCTAAATGCTGGGGGAAAAGCTAAAGAAATGCTGGAGCTGGCAGGTGGCACGGTGGTTAAGGGCGCTGGACTCCCACATGGCTGACTGCAGTTCAAGCCTTGGCCCTGGTACCTTGCTTTCTCACTATCTCTCTCTCCCTGGTCAAATTAAAATAAAATAAAGTTAAATAAAACAATAGTTAACAAAAAAAAAAAAAACTTGTCATTAAAAAAAAAGCAGAAGAAGAAAGAAATGCGAGAGGGTTGGCCCCACAGCCTAGTGGTTAAGGGGGCTGGGCCCCACATGGCCAACTGCATGGTTTGAATCCTGACCCAAGGAGATTGAAAATTATGGAGGGTGTGTGTGTGTGTGTGTGTGTGTGTGTGTGTGTATGCAGATCTGACAGGATGCAGACTTGGAAAAGGAACTGAAGCATGACCATGCCCCATTGTGGGGGCTCTTTCTCCCTTTCTCTTTGTTTCTCTCTGGTGTGTGCAAGTGCCCTATGCAAAATAAAAAATTAAAATTTGAGAAAAATACTAAAGAGTTCTTTAGGCTAAGGCGAAACCAGAAGAAAATTCAACTTTTTCTTTAAATTATTTTTTATTGAACTTTATTTACTTATTTATTTTAATTTTACCAGAGAGGGAGAGAGGGAGAGGGGGGAAAGAGAGACAGAGACAGAGAGAGAAAGTGAGAAAGTAAGCTGCCAGGTCCAGGACTCAAAGCACAGTTAGCCATGTGGGAGTCCAGCATCCTTAACCACCATGCCACCTGTTGGCCCCACAAAAATTCATCTTAATAAGGAACAGAGAGCGACCAGCAGACGGTGCAGTGGTTGCATTGCTGGACTCTTACATGGTCGACCGCAGTTCGAGTCCCGGACCTGGTAACTTAAAACTCATGCATGGCACGTGTGCCCAAGATCCTATGAGAATGGAGGAGGAAATAGCCTGGCCTTTCCCACAGGGGATGATTTCTCGTTTTCTGTCTCTCTCGTAAGTGCCCATGCCCCATAGCAAAAATTTCTCTAAAAAAAAAAAAAAATAGAACAGAGAGCACTAGAAATGGTAAATATTTAGTTAACTATAAAAGACTGTTTAAGGGGCTGACTGGTGGAGTGGTGGTGAAGAGTGCTGGACCCCCACATGGCCAACAGTGTCCTGGATATGCAGGCTGGCTTTCTCACTCCCCTCCCTACACTGTTTCTCTCTGGTCAAATTAAAATAAACAAATAAAGTTAAATAAAATAATTCTTAAAAAAAAAAAAAGACCATTTAAAGGTTTACAAATTCATTCTCATTTCTGAGACTAATTTCTTAGAAATATTTAAAGGAAAAAACAACAATGTCTTATGGGCGGCTTTTAACACATACAGGTATAATACTTAGGACAACTACATAGAGACTAGAGAAGGGGCAGAAAATTGACTTTCATGGCTGTTGGTTCTTACATTTTACATGAATTGGTGCAATAACAACTAAGTAGACCATGACAAATTGTCAATGTACTCTGTAGTCCCTACATAAACTATTAGAAAAATAAGGTGAAGAGGTTACCCATAGAGCCAATAGATAAACTAAAAGCGAAGGGATTGTGGAGTGGCCATCTCCCTGGCATGTGTGTGTGGGGAGGATATTTCTTGCTTTCTGTCTCTCTGTCTCTAGTGGGTGTATGTGCCCTATAGCAAAAATCTAAAAAAAAAAAATAAAGGCATGAGCATATATGCATGTACACATAAAGATGAACCTATGATTGTTTAGATTAAGAAATTCTTAGAAAGATGAACCTATGATTGTTTAGATTAAGAAATTATTAGAAAGGTGCTCAAAACAAAAGACGGTTAGAACAAGGTAACAGACTGAACTTTTATGTTAATGTATGAAAGACAGAGGGGTTGTTAATTATAAGGAAGTGAACAAAGTAGCTGGAACACTTGAAATGGGAGGTTAGAGTAGCTTAAATCCACAGGTTTCTCATAGACAAAAGCACATCAGGTCTGTTTCGCTTTCTACATTATGTGAACCACTCTCATTAAATGATGATTGACAACAGGCAAATGTACACAGCATATAACACACCCAGGTGAACAGTATATCACACTTAAAGGTCATTAACAAGAACATGTACCTGTATGTCCTGCCAGCTCACGACTCACGCGGACATTTCCCTCACGAGTTTTCAGATTGTAAATGGAACAAATGTTATCCAGGCCACCGCAGGCCACATAGTTCCCAGAAGGAGCATATGCGCAGGTCATGACCCAGGAGGAGCGCAGAGGGATGGCATGGACCTAAATGATGAAACATAGGCAATGCAAACACCTTCATATTTGAAAACATTAACTGGTGATACTATGATTTTATTTCTAGTCTTCAACTTTCACTGTATAGAAACTGACAGGGCAAGATAAAGGCCAAGATTACTTAGAGAGTAATTTGTATGTGTGGCCAGAAGTAATAATTTAATTAGAAATTCAGTGTTGCAAGTGGAAACCAAATTTCATCTATGGTTTTATTAAAATCACAATTTACAGTTAAGAAGACACTTACGTAATAAACTGCCTCCTAATCAAAACTACATACTAAAGAGGAAAACACTTCAAATAGGTTGTCAAAATGGCTATGGATTCATTTAAAAAACAAAGTGCTCTTACTGAAATAACTGAATGACATTATCATAATTAATTCCACCATATACATTCCTGTGCTTTAGATAGATTTGTTGTAATTAATGCTATCTTTGAAACACATTTAGCATCTTTTAGTAAAGTACAACTAAATCAGATCTTTTACATACATATTTGAACCAGTTTGACAGTGCTTTTCACTCAATACAACAGAACACTAAATTAAATTTCAAAACTAATTTATTGGGTCATGAGGAAGGTCATGATGCCTTTTTGCACAGAAAAATATATCACAAGTTTCTCAACGACCTAATAATTTATACTTCAAAGTATAAATTTCAGATTATATCTTGTATAAACTAATAACTGAATAAAAATCTACATTTCTCCAATCTTTAAGTAAAACATGTAAAACTTCCCATTGCTGGCCCTGGGTCATAGTTAAGTGCTGTGCATTGGGAGCTGGGTCCTACATAACTGACCATAGCTCAAACCCAGGTGGCTTGAAAAACATGCTGGATACATCTATGTGCATGCCCCAAAATCCTGATGGGAAGGAGAAATGAAGAAAATAGGATTGCAGCATGATTACACTCCACTGATGGGTTCTCTGACTCTTCCCTCTGGTAAGTGCATATGAACTATGGCATGAAAAACTAATGACAAACAACAACAAAAATTCCCAATTTCTCAGACTGAGCTAAAACCATAATCCAGGTCTCCTAAAAAAACCACATGGAGCCCCCCCACCTGTTGGTAAAAAGATGACAAAATACACTACTACGGCACCCACAGCTCGCAGCAGAGACCAGCAACATTTGTCAGCATATGATAACAACCCACCTCACCTACATGACGTCACTACTAAAATACACTAGTTACTGTAACTACCTTTCCCATCCTGTGTTTTATTCATCAGCACACATGACCCCGGAGTTAAAAACTATTTCCTGGGTTGGTTTCCCAAGAAAGGGAATTTTATAGTACTCACCTTGTTTGTGGTGTAGCTGTCCCAGATGATGAGTTATCCATCCTGTGAGGCGCTGACAAGAAGCCTAGAGGAAGAAGACAAAAGCTATCAATGCTGCATGACACAAAATCCTACAAAAGCAACAAATGAAAACTGAAATTTTGGTAACTTCTAACACTCTTCGATGTCTAATTTGCTTGAGACAAAGCATACTTACTTTTTTTAAAAAAGAATTATTTTATTTAACTTTATTATTTCTTTACTTATTTTGAATTTGACCAGAGAGGAATAGAGAGACAGAGAAAGAGAGAGAAAGTGAGAAAGCAAACTGCCAGGTCTAGGATTCAAACTGCAGTCGGCCATGTGGGAGTCCTGTGCCCTTAAACCACCACACCACCTGCTGGCCTCTCTCTGGTCAAATTAAAATAAATAAATAAAGTGAAATAAAAATCATTCTTAATAAAAAAAGAAAGAAAGAAAGAAAGAAAGAAAGAAAGAAAGAAAGAAAGAAAGAAAGAGCAAAAACACCGCCACAGATGATAATTTGATAATTCAGATTGGAGTGTTGGGTTACTAATGCAGCTTGCTTTCTCACTTTCCCTTCCTCTTTCTTTCTCTGGTTAAATTAAAAAATAATAATCAATAGAAGTAAGTAAATAATTCATTTTAAAAAAGAAAAAGGTACCAGCAGATGGTGTAATGGTTACGTTGGTGGACTCCCACATAGTTGACCATGGTTTGAGTCCCAGACCTGGAGGCTTGAAACTCATGCTGGATGTGTGTGTGAATGCCCAAAATCTCAAGTGGAGAATGGAGAGGGGATTCTGGCATAGCCATTCCCCATCGGGGGTGTTTTTTGCTCCCTCTCTGGCAAGCGCACGTGCCCTTATAGCAAAAATCTCACTCTCACAGAAAAAGGGGACAGGGACCAGCAATTAGCGTAATGGCTATGTCACTGAACTCTCATCTAGTCGACCACGGTTTGACTCCCCGACCTGGTGGCTTAAACTCACGCTGGGCACGCGTGCATGCATGCCCAAGATCTGAAGAGGAAAATGGAGAAGGGATTGTGACGTAGCCATCCCCCTGGGGGTGATTCCTTGCTTTCTCTCTCCGTCTTTCTCCATCTCTCTGGTGAGCACACATGCCCTATAGTAAAAACCTCTCCAAAAAATAAATAAATAAATAAAAGGAAAAGAAAAAGATGTCAGCTACGTAAAATTTACAAAAGAACCCAAACAACTCTGTCCTACAGAATGTGCTTTTAAAGTTTGATGTATGAAGGCTTGTATGTACATTTGTATGTATATTAGAGAATGAATGCACTCACCGGAAAGACAGGGAAGAAAATGCACCCTTTGATGGGGGTGAATCCCTTCTCCTCCAGCTTTCCCTCTTTGTAGGATTTTGGGTACAAACACACACGCCAGGTTATGTTTCTCAAGCCACTGGATCTGGAACTTGTCGGCTACAGCGGAGGGGGGGGGGGGGGGGAGGCGGGTGTCCTTACCTCTTGGGGGTGGGAGGCGGTTGTCCTAACCTCTAGGCTACAGAGCCAACTTATTTTTATTTACTTTTTACCATGGGTGGAGGGCAGGCGGGAGGGAAGTATCCCTGAAGGTCTTCTTATGCCTCGATTTTTCTCCCAGTCAACCAGGATCATAGGTGGATATTGGCATGTCTAGTATGTTCAGAGTGATACCAGATCTGAGTCTGCGGCCATCAAATGGTATAGTGGTTAAGTTGCTGGACTCCCACATGGTCAACCACGGTTTGAGTCCTGGACCTAATGGCTTGAAACTCACATCAGGCTTATGTGCGTGAGAATGGAGAGAACGTTCTGCGAGAACAGAGAAGGGATTTACAGTGTGGTCACCCCCCTGGGGAGTGGGGAGAGTGATATCTCACTTTCCCTCTCACTGCCTCTGCCTCTGTCTCTTTCTGGCAAGGGCATGTACCCTAAAGCAAAAGCCTCAAAAATAAAAACTAAAACAAAAACAAAAACAAATCCCTGAACCAAGGTCTCTCCTATGGCTCTGTATCATGTAATGGTGCTGCGCTACTTGTATCACCATACCTGTGCAGAGTTTTAGAAAAAGAAAGAAGGTTCTCCTCACAATTTTATATAGATTTTTGTCAGTATGATAAATAAGGACATAAAGAGTTTTAATTTTAAACATTTTATTGGGCTGGCCCCGTAGCATAATGGTTGAAGGAGGTGGATCCCACCTGGCTGGCCACTATTTGAATCTTGGCCTTAGCAGCTTGAAAAACACATCAGGTTGGGACCAGCAGATGGTGTAATGGCTACGTCGCTGGACTCCCATGTAGTCAACCGTGGTTCACATCCCAGACCCGGTGCCTTAAACTCACGCCAGGCACGTGTACGTGTGTGCCCAAGATCTCAAGAGAATGGAGAAGGGATTGCGGCATGGCCATCTCCCCGGGGAGTGATGTTTGTTGGCTTCTGTCTAACTCTGTCTTTCTGGCGAGCACACGCACCCTATAGGAAAACCTCTCCACCCAACCCCCAACAACAAAAAAAAAAAAAAAGGAAGAAAAGAAAAACATGTCAGACATGTGTGTATGCATGCCTGAAATTCCAAAAGGATGAAGACATAGAAGAGAAGGAATTGAGGCATGATTATACCCAAAAATTAACAATTATTCTTTGTTTTACCTTTTTTAAAATTAACATTTAATCATGGTGCATCTTTTTTTTTTTTTTTTTTTAAAGAGAGATTTTTGCTAGGGCAAATATGCTCACTAGACAGACAGAGAAAGAAAGCGAGAAATTACCCCCCTCGGGACCAGCAGTTAGCGTAATGGCTATGTCACTGGACGCCCCTGTAGGCGGCCCCGGGTTTCGTGATTGGAGGGTGATTTCTCGCTGTCTCTCTCTGTCTGGCGAGCGCACGCGCCCTATAGCAAAAACCTCTCAAAAAAAAAAAAAGAAGAAGAAGAAGAAGAAGAAGAAGAAGAAGAAGAAGAAGAAGAAGAAGAAGAAGAAGAAGAAGAAGAAGAAGAAGAAGAAGAAGAAGAAGAAGAAGAAGAAGAAGAAGAAGAAGAAGAAGAAGAAATTATCTCCCCAATGGGAATGGCCACACTGTAATCACTTCCCCTCTGTTCTCCTCTCAGGATCTGGGGCATACAAGCACACATGTACAGTGTTGTTTTAAGTTGGCAGATTCAGGACTCGAACCGTGGTCAACTACATAGGAGGCCCAGTGACATAATCATTTCGCTATTTGCTGGCCCCCACTGTACATCTTTACAGTATACAACATGGTTTTTCAGAGCATGCATGCAGTGCATTGCATGTCTAGCAAGTCAGATATTACTACTGGGTCATGGGAAAATTCATGGCATATTTTTTCTAAGCAAAAATGAGTCATAACTTTTCTGACAACCCCATATGTACGTCATGTTCAATAGATAACTTTCCATTCTTGTGTCAGTTAAAAGATTTTTATTCCCCCTGAACTCCTCCCTCCCACTCCTAATTCTTAAAGCAACTCCTCTCGTAATCGACTTCAGAGGTACTTAAAACTATCTTCATGTAATAATATGAGGGCCACTCTGTGGCTATTTCTGTCTGGCCCTTTGAAGAACCTGAACAGAATCCTGCAGCATCTCATCCTCCTAGGTCAGGAAGGTCACCTTCACAGAGGTCTCTTGGTCACAGAGTTTAAAAACTGCTGACTTGCCAAGGGGCTAGGGAAATGTTAAGCTGCCTGCTGATCCTCCAGAAGGTGAGAGGAGACAGATCTCCTATTCTCAGGTTAGGTAACTGTTAAAGAACTGGGTTCCCTTTGCCTCCTTGAGCCTATTCACAAATCGTTTACCTGAAGGGCTACAGAGAATACAGAGGAAAGAGCCAGCAGGTAAGCCAAGGGCTCCAGGACACGGAAAGCTGGGGTCAGAATCCAAACACCTAACATCTTTTGTTTTACTCACAAAAGGGAGGGCTCTTAATCCTAGGTAAGTTAAACTGTGTTTACTTTCCATCAAGTAAGACCTTAACAGATTTTAGAAAAAGGAGAAAAAACTTAACAATAATCCATGTGACTGAAAGAGAACCATAAATGTTATTAAAAAATTGAATTTTAGGGTCCAGCCGATGGTATGGAAGTTAAGGTGGCTAGATATCACAATGCCAATTATGCAATTTGCGTCCCAGATCCAGAAGCTTGAAAAACACAATGGCATGTGAGCGTGTATGCCCAAAACCCCAACAGGAGGGAAAAATGTTAAAGTAAGGATTGTAGCATGCCCATGTCTCATGGCAGAGTGGTGATTTCTTTCCCTCCCTGCTTTGGGTGAGTATGTATGTGTCCTGTGGCAAAATTTTAAAAAGTAAAAGTTGAATTTTAGTATAAAAATCAGAATCTATTCATAAGTATAAATGTAAACAAAGTCATATTAATACATGCAAAAAAAAAACCCTCAGGGGGAATGGCCACATCACAATCCCTTCTCCTCCATTTTCCTATTGGGATCAGCTGGCCCCTGGACATTTCCTTTCTTTCTCCTTTTTAAAATTTTTTTCATTATTTTAAAAAATGTAATTATTTAATTTTATTTATTCGTTCATTTATCTTATTTTGACTAGAGAGAAACAGAGAAAGAGAGAGAAAGTGAGAAAGCAAGTCACCGGGTCCATGACTCAAACCGTGATCGGCAATGTGAGAGTGTCCAGCACCTTAATCACCATGCTGCCACTGGTCCCCTCTCCTTTTTTATTTTTTAAAAAAGATAAAATTATGGGGCCAGAAGTTGACATGGTAGTTAAGACATTGGACACCACGTGGCCAAGTGTGTTGTTTGCATCCTGGACACACACCCTGATAAACATGCCGGGAGCATGTGTATACATGCCCAAAATTCCAACAGGAGAACAGAGGAGAAAGGACTGTGGTATAGCTTGTTCCCTCTGGGAGGTAATTTCTCACCTTCCATCTGTCTCTATCCAGTGAACGTATGTACTCTATAGCAAAAACTAAAAACTCTATAGCAAAAACTAAAAACTCTGAATTCACAAAGCAATTTCTAGTTTTACTTACCCTGGATGGTAACATTTTTAATGAACATGTAATAATCAATATATTTATATATTTACAATGTGATGTTTTGATACATGTTTAGATTGTTAAATGATTAAATAAAGTTAATCGACATACTCATTACCTCACATTTATCATTCTTGTGATGGGGATATTTAAAATCTACTTTCAACAAATTTGAAATATACATTATTAACTATAGTTACTTTGCTGTGCAAAAGATTCCTAAAACTAATTTCTCCAGTCTAAATGAAACTTTGTATCATCTGAACAACATCCCTCTCTTTCCTTTTATATTCTGACAACTGCCATCATTATAATGATCACATTAGTTCTCATTTGCATATGGAATTGCATGGTATACTGTATAGAACAAGCTAAAGATAGAATCTTTTGTTCTCTAGCTATTTACACGCTAAAGTGGACAATCTCATGAACAAAGAGAACAGCAAGCAGAAAATTCTATCTTTTCAAAAAATTAAAATGAAAAAAAAAATACTATGCAAAAAAAGAAAAGCATAGTAAGTATTGTTAGGTTTTTGAAAGGGCAAGTCACAGCCACACAAATCAAATACCATTTTATTTAAGTGCATGGGTGGAAAAGGCATAGACAGACTTTCTGGTAACCTCTAAAAGAAAAGGAAAAGAGCTTAATAAAATTCCTTTTCAGTAATAGCTATAGATTAAGCCTGAGCTAAGGCATAGGAAATAGAGAAGACAAGAGACAGTGTGAGGTAAGATTTCCTGAGAAAAAAAGAAGTCCAAGTAAGAGTAGGATTTAAAGTAGGAAAAATAGGAAACCATGAAGGGAATGATCTCTTTTGGACAACAGACAAAAAGGTCAGGCAGGGCCAGCCAGTAACATGGTGGGTAAGCTGGCTGGATTCCATATGACCAACTGTGCAGTTTGAGTCCTGGATCCAGTGGCTTGGAAAACACACTAGGTGTGTATGCATGGGTGCCCAAAATCCTGACAATAGAGAAGAGGGATTTCATGGAGTGGTTCCCTTCCTGGGGAGAGCTTTCTCACTTTCCCTTTCTCTCTCTCTAGAGAGTATATGTGATCTACAGCAAGCAAGAAAAAAGGAAGGTGCGACAGACAAACCTAGTGAGAGATGTTGACAGTAGCTCACATGTGCATTCCCAAGTGTCTGTTGTGGGCTCTAAGAAGAAAAGCAACAGCAAGTCCACATATAGCACCTGGGGCCCCCAGGTAATTCTAAGGCTCAACATATTTCATATTCAAATACCCCATGGGGCAGGTTGTATGAGCCCTAGAACCATGAAAACCACAGGAAGACATGGGCCAAAAACAGGCTGGAAAGTCAAGAAACCATGGGACAGAGAGGTTAAATAACTTTCCCAAGATCCTAAGAAAGGTAAGTGGTGAAACTGGAAGAACCAAGGTCTGGAAACTAAAAAAAAAAAAGAGAGGAAAAAAAAAAAAAAGGTGAAGGGAGAGAAAGACAGATCACAGCTAATATAAACCCAACTATCGTGGTAAAGAAACGACAACACACCATTAGCTCTGACAAGTGGAAATTTGGGCAGGGAATCTACATCTGTGTATATTATACCTGATCTGCCTCGATATCTGACTCAATTTTCTAATTATTTTCTTTACAAAACACAGCAAATGAGTTCGGGTTACTTTCCAACAGAAAAATCAAGAAAGAATGATGTTTGTATCAAGTATAGCATTTTCCTCCTGCCCAAACATACCTGGAATCTGTGCCCCAGTGCATGGCATAAATCTTGGCCAGGTGCCCCCTCAGCGTTCTCCTAGTGCGCATTTGGATTCTTCCCACTGGGTCAATATTGTTTGTGATCTTAAAAATAAAAAGGTTACTACAAATTAACATCTGTAATTACAGGACCCTACACCTGAAATCCCTCCTTTTCTTTAATGGTTATGCAGCTTGTTCACTGTGCCCCATTCTCCCATGGATTTAGTATGGCACTCTGCACCTAGCCCTTTCATGACTGCTATTAAGCCTACTATTCTTGCTGGTTTCCAGGATGCTGTTTCTGCCTTCCAATGCATGTGCAGAAAGACCGCCAGCTTCAGACATACAAGCTTCCCCCCTTTCCACTCCTCCCCATGCTGTGCATCAAGGACCAGTTCTTCCTGGTCTTATATTCCTCCACGGCTGCCCTTCTTCCAGCACCACCACACAGATGGACTGCATCACAACATAGCAAGCAATTCCTATGTTGGGCTAGGTTCCAACTCAGGTAAGATTATATCTGCTTCTGCACAACCATCACTTGTGGACCAGCTGCAGACGTACACAGCTACTGACCCATCCCATGTACAAAACATTGACATTAAAGATTTTAGGTTAGCAAATAGAGTAACACAATAGGGTTTTTTTTTTTTAATAAATATAATTTACTGTTTAACCTCAATTAAAGTATACCCTCTAAAGCATTTATACAATGAACACAAATCATCAGTACAAGTATGAATATAATTTTTTCTTTCACATGTCCGTCCAATTTTTTGGACTTTACTTTTTCAATAAGGTAAAATTTTGGGACCAGCAGTTAGCGTAATGGCTAGTTCACTGGACACCCAAGTAGCTGACTATGGTTCGAGTCTCAGACCCGGTGGCTTAAACTCCTGCCAGGCGCGTGTGCGTGCAGATCCCTGTACCCAAGATCCCAAGAGGAAAATGGAGAAGGGATTGCGACGTGGCCATCCCCCCGGGGGGTGATTTCTCGCTTTCTGTTTCTGTCTTTCTGGCGAGCACACGCGCCCTATACCAACCCCCCCCCCAAAAAAAAGGGTAAAATTTGTATAACATAAAATTAATCTTAAAAAAAATTAAAACGCAGTGTCTTATTGTGTTACATTCCTCTTTCCTCAGCATCCCAACTATTCAGGACTATAGGTATCTGCTATCACACCCAACATTTAGGGTAGGCCAGGAATTGAACTCAGACCTCCCATGTGGCCTCAGCTGGCAGATCAGCAGGGTCATATCAGCATATGCCACCATGGCTAGTCCTTAAACATGTTAAGAAACACAGTTCAGCACATTTAATGTCACAGTGTTGTGCAATCATTAAGTACTACCTCATTTCACAACATTTTCATCACCCATAAAGTGCAACTCATACCGACTAAGCAGTCACTCCCTATGGTTCTCTCCCTCAGTCCCTAACAGTCACTAATCTACTTTCTCTATGGAACTCTATGGGAACTCTGGATATTATATGTAAATGAGCCATAAAATACATAACGATCTGTGTCTGGCTTCTTTTGCTTATCATAAAGTTTTTGAGGTTTATCCATGTTGTAGTGGGAGTCAGTACTGTTCCTTTCTATGGCCAATATTCCTTTGTACAGGCATACCACCGTTTTTCTATTCATCCATTTATGAAAGTTGAGGTTCTTTCTGCATTTTAGCTACTATGAATAGAGTTGTTATAAACATTTATTTATATATCCATTTGAAACCCATTCTTTGATTCTTTTTGAACTATATCTGTCAGTGGAACTGCTATGTCATATGATAATTGTATGTTAAATTCTTTAAGGAACTGCCAAATTGGACACTGGAAATCAGAGTTCTGAGGCAGAGGAGCTTCAAAATACCTTATTTTAAGACAATAATGATATATTACAACTATTACTGATATAACAGGAAGCAATTATCTAAACCCACTACTTCTTATGCCAAAACCAGAATGACTTCTGAATGAAAATGCTCCAAGCACAGGCTTTATAATCTCACTGCACGGAACTGGAGTAGAGCCCACTCTACAGGTTCCAGGTGTAGGCACCACTCCGGCAGCTTGTGTACCAGGCAGTCAACTCTGCAATATTAAGCTAGCTCTTACCTGAGAGAGAGTTGCATCTGCACATGCTTTTCTGGCATCCTAGGAAATAATAGTAACAAAAAGAAATTAGTAATGTTTCAGATACATTTAGCCTTAGGTCCTGATACATCAAAGGTTTAGAGGGAGAGCCTCGATAAACTGTTCGGTGCAGAAGTAGGATATGAAAGGATGGAGTACTTTCTCCTTCCCTCTCCTCAGCACTTCACAGTCCACTACCAATTACAGACTGTCTAGGCCACAGTGAACAGAGAACAAACGATACCCAAATACATTTAAGATCTGCAGATCATGTCAACTAGCCAGCACAATACCCCTGGTACCATGGCACTGTAGTCAGCACTAGGGAGATTACGATGAAACCTGGGGCCGTACCTAAGAACCCTACGACTGGCCTTGCCTGCCTTTGACCTTTCCACAGGTCAGCACATACTCATCTTGCTCTTTTTTTTTAAAGAGGTTTTTGTTATAGGGTACCTGTGCTCGCCAGACAGATGGAGAGAGACAGAGAGAAAGAAAGTGAGAAATCACCCCCCAGGGGGGATGGCCACGCCGCAATCCCTTTTCCTCCATTCTCCTCTTGGGACTTTGAGCAGGCATCTACATGCACCCAGTGTGAGGTTTAAGCCACCGGGTCTGGGACACGAACCGCAGTCAACTACATGGGAGTCCAGTGACAGAGCCATTACGCTAACTGCTGGTCCCTCGTCTTGCCCTTTTTAACAGCCCATGCAGGACCAGAAGGGGTGTGGCCCAAAAAAATAAGTCTAAAAAGAGCAAGGTATCAGCCCCTAAAAACCTCTCCTCTGGATTGTATTAACTAAGGTGTTTGTTTTCAAGTCAACTGTTAATTCTATATTTGATAAAAGAAAAAAGAGCAAGGGATCTGGAGTTAGACCAGACTTTTTGGCTACTGTTCCCACCTGCTGTCTTCTCTACAAAAGGACGTACAGAAACAGAACAATGCTAATGAAAATACTTCCATCAATATAAAGTGATCACAGTTACTAGGAAATAAATCCTGAAATCTCAAGTTAACATACATTTACATTTTTTTTTTAGAATTCCATTTTATTATTATTATTCTTAAATTTGTTTTACGGCTCATGTACTCACCGAGAAAGACAGAGACAGAGAAGAAGAAAGTGAGAAAGCAAGCTGCCAGGTCTGGGACTCACACCATGGTCAGTCATATGGGAGTTCAGCACTTTACCAACCATGCCATCTGCTGGGCCCCCAGTATATATTTTTACAAAACAGAAAGATATACATAATGAAAGAAAATGACACAATAGTTTGTTTTTGGAGAGGATTTTGCTATAAGGCACGTGTGCTCGTCAGAAAGACAGAGAGAAAGAAAGTGAGAAATTCCCCCCCGGGGGGATGGCCACGTCGCAATCCCTTCTCCTCCATTCTCTTCTTGGGATCTTGGGCACACACGTAAACGTGCCCGGCATGAGTTTAAGCCACTAGGTCTGGGACTCGAACCACAGTTGACTACGTGGGAGTCCAGCGACATAGCCATTACGCCAACTGCTGTTCCAGACACAATAGCTTTAAAAGATAATAACATTTGAGTGTAGACCTAATTTCAAAAGAAACTCGTGGTATTTTTTTTTCTTGCCAGAGGGTACATGAGTTCACCAGAGAGATGGAGACAGAGAGGGAAAGCATCCTCAGTGGGGCATGGTCATGCTGCAGTCCCTCTCCTCCACCTCTCCATCCCAAAAGGATTTTGGGCATGTGCTAACACAGCAGGGCCAGGACTCAAATCACTATCAGCAATGTAGGATTCAGTTTCCCTTTACCAGTAGGCTACAGGATGGGCCACTTATAATTTCAAATTAAAAAAATGTTTCTGTTATATTTCCAGATGACCTTCTGCTATCAAAATGGAAACAGGCCATGAGACAGGATTTACATATATGGGAGTCCTATATCAAAGAAGATGCCCAAAGGGATAAAATGCCTCACTACATATAACCTGTCTTATAAAACTGGTGTTACTATTCATAAACTGATAATACAGAAACCATATTGAGATTGGAACCAACAATTAGTAATAGCTATGTCGCTAGACTCCTACATAGTTGACTGCGGTTTGAGTCCGGACCTGGTGGTTTAAACTCATGCCGGGCACATGTGCATGCGTGCCCAAGATCCGGAGAACGGATTGCGGCATGTCCATCCCCTCTGGGGGGGATTTCTTGCCTTCTGTCTCTTTTTCTCTGTCTTTCCAGTGAGTGCACGCACCCTACAGCAAAAAAATAAATAAATAAAAAAGATTATTATGATAAATATATCAAGTCTTTAGATTCCAATCATCTTTAATTTAAGGTATTATTAGTAATCTGATTATAATTAAACCACAAAAATTAAGTAATCAAGTATTTTTATGGCAACAACAGAATTTAGAGAAAGGAGGATTTAAAAGATTCTGAGTAACAAGTCTTTTTGTCAATAAATTTTATCTGTCACGTGTTAAGTTTAACATTTATTTCTGAATACCAACTTTGTTGATGCTATGTATATACCATTTGATTTTTGAAATAAATATCAAGACTTTATTTATTTATTTACTTATTTATGATTATTTATCTATCTGTTTGTTTTGTTGTGATTTTTGGGACACTGGGTCCAGGACTTAACTGCAGCCTGTCATGTGGGAGTCCAGCATCTTAACTATCACTCTCTGCCGACCCCTCAAGCCTTTTTTTTTTTTTTTTTTAAATTAAAGAATTATGTACCTGGGTCAGTAGGTGACGTGGTGGTTAAGGCACTGGACACTCCCACATGGCTGACCACTGTTCGAATCTCAGAAATGGTGGCTTGCTTTCTCACTTTCCTTCTCTCTGTGTGCCTGTCTTTCTCTGGTCAAATGAAAATGACTGAATGAATAAATAAAATTAAAAAAAAAAAGAATTATGTATTTAATTTATTATTATTATTATTTTTAATTTGACTGGGGGGCAGGGGCAGTGAGAAAGCAAGCTGCCAGGACTCAAACTGCGGTCAGCCATGTGGGAGTCCAGTACCTTAACTACCATGCTACCTGCTGGCCCCCTACCTCAACTTTTATAAAGGGAGAAAATAAAATATAGAATCTAAGCAACTTCACCCTGGTGAGTGTCTATAGAGTAAAATGGGTTCCTTAATGTACCATATAACAGACTGCGGTACTACTACTGCTATGAAGAATAAGAACTATTCTAAAAACTCAAAACACAGATAACTTCAATTAGGTCATCACTTTAGCAATAAGGGCTTAGGTAAATGAGCATATTGTTTCTCAGAATGGACCTCTTCAACTTTTACAATTACTCTTCTACTTTTACAATGATAAGAAAAAGGTATCTAATCCAAACAAGCTCTATAAGTACAAAACAAAAACAGAACACTTGAACATACTTCAGATTAATTTCCAATTTAATGGACCTGTGCAGATGTGTACATGATGCTGGTGTGTCAGTTTATTTTAAAAAATAAAAAAATCTGCACCCTTACATTTTGTGTTGCTTTTCAGCTATTCCTGTACTTAACATGCCATGTTTCAGTCAAAATTCTTCTGAAAGCCCATTTTCCTCAATAATACAGTCAAAAGGAGTATAAAAGGTTCTTTTGGGTCTTTCAGCTAAAAATAATTTTAAGAAAAGAAATACTGTCTCTTAGAATCATCTGCTACCTCTAGTTTGATTCATAAGACTCTGTACTTTTTTTTAAGTGATTTTTTTTTTTGCTATAGGGTGTGTGCACTTGCCAGACAGAGAGAAACAGACAAGAGAGCGGGAAAGTGAGAAATTACCCTTCAGGGGGGTGGCCATGCCACAATCCCTTCATCTCTCCCTCCTTTTTGGATAGACGCTACCATTTTGTAGCTGCTTTTTCATTTATTCCAGCTAACTACACAGAGTATCGTTTTAATCACTTCAATATTTAAAAGATTTATCTACGTCCTCAATCAATCAATCAATCAATAAACCTAAAAATCTTTAAGAGAGAGAGAAGCCAGATAGCAATACCAGATAGCATTCATGGTTGTGAGAAAGGAACCCTCAGGGCAGTGTGGTCATGCTGCAACCTTTTTTCCTGTTTGTCCACCCACTAGAATTTTGGACACACAAGTATATAGACTCTTTTTCTTTTCTTTTCTTTCTTTCTTTTTTTTTTTTTTAAGGTTTTTGCCATAGGGCGCATGTGCTCCCAAGAGAGACAGGCAGAGAGAAAGTAAGAAATCACCTCCAGGAGGGACCAGCAGATGGAGTAATGGCTACGTCACTGGACTCCTATGCAGCCGACCACGGTTTGAATCCCAGAGCTGGTGGCTTAAACTCATGCCAGGCACATGTGTGTGCGCCCAAGATCCCGAGAGAAGAATGGAAGAGAAGGGATTGCAGTGTGGCCATCTCCCGTGGCAAGTGATTTCTTTCTGTCTCTCTGGCGTGTGTAAGTGCTTTACAGCAAAAAAAAATCTCTCGGAAGAAAAAAAAAAAAAAAAAAAAAGAAAGAAAGGAAGAAAAAAGAAATCCCCCCTAGGGGAATGGTCACTGCAATCCCTTCTCCTCTACTCTCATCTCAGGATTTCAGGCATCCAAGTACACACACCCAGCATGATTTTTTTAAAAGAATTAGTTAATTTTATCTATTCACTCATTTATTTAAATTTGATCAGAGAGAGAGAGAGAGAGAGAAAGCAAGCCTCCAGGTCCAGGACTCGAACTGTGGTTGGCCATGTGGGAGTGTTCAATGGAGTCAACACCATGCCGCCTGCCTCCTCCCCCGCCCCCAGCATGATTTAAGACACCAGTTCCAGGGCTCAAACTGTGGTCACCCATGTGGGAGTCCAGAGCCTTAACCACCATGCAACCTATTGGCCACCTGGTATGTTTTACAAGCTGGCAGGCTGGGATCCAAACTACATTCAGTGATGTGGGATATGGCTCCATTCAGCACTGTGCAATGGGGCCAGACCTATCAGATCCCCTCCATGTTAAGATTTAAAATTCTTATTATAGAGAATATTTTCTATTTTCTTCTTAGCTAAATCTCAGATTATATTTTCTGAGTTCAAGGAAAAGTTGGGTGACATTATGACATTACCTCCAATTCATACTGTTTTCTGAACATATAATTTGTCATTTAAAACGAAATAATTAGGCTTCATCCTTATACTGGGCACAGAAAAGGATCTGTCGTTTAGACACATATTGAATGCTGTCAACTTGTAAAGTGATGCTCTGAAGAGCAACCAGAGCCTTACAGATCAAAACAACAAAAAAAATTACCGAGAGTTCTTTCATCAACTGTACAAAAACCTATAAATACATAGAAGATTTGTTTCTTCCTACTAAGTCTACTTTTCTTCTCTCACTCTTCCTATCATTATTTCTAATAGCAGAAACTTGTACTGGCATCCATGTTTCTCTTTAAAATATTCATTCAAAGTAGTGTTTTGGGCTGGTCCTATATCTCCGTCATTAAGAGAACCAGACCCCACATGGTTGACTGTGTGGTTCAAATCCTGGCCCTGGCAACTTGAAAAACACACTGGATACATTTGCATGTATGCCCCAAATCCCAACATAATGGAGAAATGGAGAGCAAAACTAAACTAATTTCTTTTAGAACTACCACTTTTTAAGAAGTGCATGGATTCTGCAATTTAACATTACGTATTAGTCATAGAATACATTTACTGTCTTAGAATTCTATGAAAGTAATTCTTTGTACAGTGCAGCTAAATTATGCAAGGTTGTTTTTATCTTCAATTAAATATATCTGCTCCATATAGTAGTCTATCAGATGTTGCAGATTATACCACAGCCAGGAAGGCACAGACTAATTCCGTGGCCGACATGCTGAGGTCACACCGGAGATCCAGGTTTGGAACCCAGGTTAACATAACAGAAGCATGCACCTTTGATTCTCGCTGGTAGGGAGGATTGTGGAATGGCAAGACTGTCAGGGTTACCTACCAATTATTCCTCTCTCAAGAAATATAAACAAACAAACAAGTTTAAAATAAAAAGTCATAGACTCCAAAAGTAACCCTTAGAAAACATCCTCTTTCTTTTTTTTTTTTGAGAGGTTTTCGCTATAGGGCACGTGCGCTCGCCAGACAAAGACATAGAGACAGAAAGCGAGAAATCACCCCCCAGGGCGGATGGTCACACCGCAATCCCTTCTCCACTCTCCTCTCGGGATCTTGGGCACGCACGCACATGCGCCCGGCTTGAGTTTTAAGCCACCAGGTCCGGGACGCGAACCACGGTCGACTACATGGGAGTCCAGCGACATAGCCATTACGCTAACGGCTGGTTCCCAGAAAACATCCTCTTTCAAGGTTAAGAAAAAAAATGAGTCAGGGACACCTAAAATAAGTTTTCATTATTTTTTTTTTTTTAACTTCTCTTAGATTTTTGTCACAGGGCACATGTGCTCGCCAGAAAGAGAGATTCACAGAGAGGAAAAGTGAGAAATTATCCCCCAAGGAGGGTGCCCATGACACAATCCCTTCTTCTCCCAAAATTTTGGGCATGGATGCACACATGCCTGACATGATTTTTAAAGCACCAAGTTTGAACCATGGTCAATCATGTGAGAGTCCAGCACCTTAATGACTATGCCACCTGCTGGCTCCACTTTTTAAATTATTGTTGTTAATACTTTTTTTTTCCCCCCAAGAGTTTATTTTATTTCCTACATGAGCAAGAAAAAATGTGAAAGAAAGAGATAGGTATCCTTGACAGGGTCTTGTCATGCTGCAATCCCAGTCAGGATCTTGGATGTATGCGGACCTACCTGGGACCTAAACCCACAGCCAGTCATGTAACATCTAACACTGCAGAATGGCATACCACCACCTGTGCCACTTGTCTGGCCCCAAACCCCTACTTCTGCCCTCACCTTAACAGAGTCACAATATTCAGGGGTGGGAGGAATATATTACACTCTTATATAGCGACCAAAGGAGTGTCACAAAGCTAATGCCCAAGGTTAAAATAAGTGCCAAAGACATTTATGAATTCTGTGGAAATATTTTATATACATTCAAATAAATAGCATTAAGAAAACAAAAATCCTGAAAATAATCTTTTAGACCAGAATTAGTACACACTGGGCCAGTTAAGATCCAATTTTTGGGGCCAGCAGGTGGCACAGTGGTTAAAGGTGCTGGACTCCTATATGGCTGACCATGGTTCAAATCCTGAACCTAGTGGCTTGCTTCCTCACTTTCTCTTTCTCCCTCTCTCTCTCTCTTTCACATTATGTCCCTCTCTGGTCAAATTAAAATAAGTAAATAAATAAATAAAGTTATATAAAATAATTCTTAAAATTAAAAAAAAAAAGATCTAATTTTCATTTAAACCCCTCAATGAAATATTCTGTAACCCAAAACAATTAACATCTAACAGGTAACATGTGACTTGAAATCCAAACAACAAACACAATTAAACACATAAATGGATACATACTCTGATCTGGTTTTTAAGTTGTTCGGCCTCCTGCCGTAACTGGTCAAGTTCACTCATTTTCTAATTTTAGTGCTCTTCAACCTCAAAGAATCTGAGATCTGAAACAGAAACACAAACGTAAAAAATGAATAAACAATTGTTGAGTAACTTCAAGTAAAAAAAGAAAATCGAAAATTCAAGAGCTATCATTTCATTACAAATCAAGGAACTTTCTTTGAGCATTCATTAGAACTCACAAAATACCACTCAGAGCTGAGTTAATAAAATACAATCACAATTATTCACTGGCTTTGTATAATATAACAGTGTCTAATATATTACTGAAAAAACAGTGATAGATCGAAAAAATATCCACTAATAAGCATTTTTAATGAAAAGTTCTGGGTCTCCCTATAAACTCCAGACATAAAACCCAGGGGCAGGTACCTCAATAAACAGGACTATGGGCGAGACCAGCAGTTAGCGTAATGGCTATGTCGCTGGACTCCCACGTAGTGGACCGTGGTTCGCGTCCCGGACTCAGTGGTTTAAAATTCATGCCAGGTGCATGTGCATGCATGCCCAAGATGCCAAGAGGAGAATGGAGGAGAAGGGATTGCACCGTGGCCATCCCCCCTGGGGAGTGATTTCTCGCTTTCTGTCTGTCTTTCTGGTGAGCACATGTGCCCTATAGCAAAAAACTTCTCCAAAAAAAAAAAAAAGAAAAAATCACAGAGCAATACTAAAAGGATCTGGTATGTTGTCTAGCATTTCTTTGGTTTAGAAACAACTGACTCTGCCCCCAAAATGGACCTTGTGATTCCAGTAGGACCAGAAACACCACCTTGATATTTACCGGTACCAGTTAAATTAGACTCAGCACAAGCCACCCTGCACACTTACCCTCAACTCTGACCCCACCCCTAGACACATTACACAGTATTCTTTTTTTTTTTTTTTTGGAGAGGTTTTCGCTATAGGGAGCGTGCGCTTGGCAGAAAGACA